AAAGGTCATGGTCGGCGACACGGCTGCCACCCTTCAGCTAAACCCCTAGACCCCAAACCCCTAAACCCGAAACCCTAAACCCTAAACCCCTAGCCTAGACCCTCGACCAGGGGCTTGTTTTGCACCGCACGACTTGTTATCAGGAGCCGATCGACAGAAGTCCTGACGAAACTCAGCCTTCGACCCTTTGCACCCTGAAACTGAGCCACCCGTGCTGCTATCTCTATTTTTTTAGTTTAGGGTTTTGGGCTCTTCTCCCCTACACCTTTCATCCTCACCGCAGCACCTTGCCGAGGAAAGCTGTTCCCTATTAACCCTGGCCTTGAACCCCAAAGCCTCTTCTTTATCAGCTATTTCCGGTGTGTTGACATCGGAAATCAACAGTCGATCCTAGAAGCCCTCTCGGGTTTAGGAGTTAGGGCTTTAGGTTCTTTAGGGTGTAGGTCGGCCCAAAACCCTAAACCCGAAACCCTAAACGCATCTAAACCCTAAACCCCAAGCCCTAAACCTGGGGTAAGGTGGAGGTGATCAACGCGGAGAACTTGCCGCGGGAGGCTTCGTAGAAAACGCGGGTTCGGCGTTCCCATTTCGGGCCGGTGCTAGGGGCGAAGTGACTGGGACCTAGGTTGATTTCTAAAGGGTAGTATCACAGACACGCAGGTAAGACACATGCATATGGAGGTTTCTCTAAGTATCCTGCCTCAGTTCAGTTCCTTGAGACCCGAACACCTGGGTCCATGTAGACCAAAGACCATCCGCACACAACGTTCTCCGGGCTTTGGGCTTTAGGGTTTGAGATTTAGGGTTTAGGGTTATTAGGGTTTAGGGTTAGGGTTTAGGGTTAGGGTTAACCCCTGAAATTGCTGCTGTTCGAAGCGTGTTTGCTTGCGGTTCGGGTGCATGTGGTCTGATAGGGGTGCGAGCAGGCAGACCTCTGGAATGATGTAATAGGGTTGCCATTGTGTTGGGTCAAGGCTACTTGGGCATACATGGGTCTGTACTTTGTGTGTGTGTGTGTGTGTTGTGGTGTGTGTGTGTGAGGGAGTGATGCTGTGGTTGGTTATTTCAGTGGATGAAGTTGTCTTGCCCTAAACATGCTGTATGCCCTGCAAAGTGGAGTTCGGTTCAGCTAGGCAGGAGGCAAACAAAACCCCTTAAACGCCAGGACCTGTGCATCTTTGAGGGCACCTCTGATCCGTTCGTGGAGGTCAGTCTTCTTCTCTTCACTTAGGGCTAAGAGTCTTGGTACCCCCCCCCCCCCCCCCCCCCCCCCCCAAAAAAAAAAATGCTACCCTTACTTTTTTTTTTTTTTTTTTTTTTTTTGGGGGGGGGGGGGGGGGGTTCTGGGTTCTCTAAAAAAGCAACTAACCCCAACACCTTATAGGACGGTTGCTGGGCCACCACGGAGTGTTGGGTTCAGGTTCTATAGGGCGTTGAAGCCTTGGTGTTTGACGTTGTGAAGATCCACTCTTTGCAGCTCGGTGCTTTAGATCTTCTGGCTGAGGGCTTTCTAAACTCTCGCATGGGTTTCTCAGTCATGTGCCTTGGGATCGTGGTCACACGGTTGTGGCAGGGACTTTGTAGGGCCAGCCGGAAGGGAATCAGGATGAACGGCCACCAGGTTTCAGGGCTTGGGGTTTGAAAACTTGCGTTGGGGTATAAAACCTAAACCCGAAACCCAAGAGAATAGAGTTTAGGGTTTAGGGTTTTAGAGTTTAGGGTCCTGGGCCAGGCTTCGGAGAAGCTACTGCAGATTCTGAGCACGTGAAGCCCCAAGAGATCCACCGACATGTATTTGCCACTGTGCTCTTCACTCAAGACCCGTCGAGGGATCACACCACAACTTTTTTCTTGGCCCCCAGAACAGGTTGGGATTAGGGTTTAGGGTTGACGGTTTATCGGGTTTAGGGCTAGGGTTTCCCTCCCACCCCACACAGATTTGCTCCTTCATTCCTCTCGTCTGCCCACTGGGGCGGGCAGGTCGTCGCGACCTCCGCGAATGGGTTCTGCTTCCGCCAGCAGAGCAAGGTGCAAATAAGGACCCGAAGTGCGCTTGGGGGGATGGCTTAGCATATCATGACATGTCCCCAGGACTATGTAGAGAGTTTCGAATGTCTCAAGTTTCGAATGCCTCAAAGTGTCCGTAGCCAAGGGTAGCTACATGGTCCCTTAATGTGGTTGGAGTACGGGCCCTTGGGGTTATGGAGTATATAAATCGTACGCCCCTTATCAGGGCCTATATATTTGTGGACCATGTAATAACCCTTAGACCTTAAGCCCAAACCGTTTCACGTTGTTCAGGTGTTGCAGGTGTTCCGTGCCGCGCCATCTGTTTTTGCGAGTCTGCAATTTTCTCCTCAGAGACTGCACGCTCTCGCCCTAGTATTTTCTTCTTATCATCCCTATTATGCTTTTGTATATACACTTCAATGCACCTGTGCATAAATTCGCGTGCCCATTGTGCAAAATGTCATTTGACCATTTTGATGTGCCGGGGTCGAAAGACATCATCCGAGACTCGCGCTTGCTGATGAAGGGTTGAGGGCGCGGATTAGGGTTTGGGGTCAGGGGTCAGGGTTGTCGGAGAGTCCCGGTAGAAGAAAGGTTTAGAGGTTAAGGCCAGCGAGACACCGTGATGCCTGGGGGTCGGGCTGGACGTGCAATGCCACTCATGCCACCATCAGGGGACCGGTGCTGCAACGATCGCTACACCGCCAAACTCCAACACACTTGTCAAGGTATGCTCTCGAAGCAAGATTAGACCTAGGCCATTTGCTTCAGGGCCCCCCCCCCCCCAAGAAAAAAAGGACGCAACAACAATTCTCATTAGGGCAATACAGGGATTTCATGTTTTCGGTGTGTCTTAAGCAATTCGTCCTTCACGCTGCCGTGGTCTGCATGCAAACTCTTCCTACTGCAGTCCCGCTCCGCAGTGCGGGTGGCAGACCCTTCCTACTTCATAGTTGCTGAGTGAGTAGGGTTTAGGGTTTAGGGTTTAGGGTTTAGGGTTTAGGGTTTAGGGTTTAGGGTTTAGGGTTACTTCACACTTTTTGGGATACTATAATCCCCTATAGAACTGAAAAGTGTAGACTTTTTTTGGGGGGCTTATGAACTCAGCAACGAAGACTTGGAGGTTCATGTGTTGTTCTACGTGGGATCCTAAGTATGGTAGGTGTACTTATCTACTTCTCACCCTATATGTTGGGGGCACTTCGAACCCGAAGTATAGCTAGCTTCCCATGAACATCCTTCCTACCATATGGTCACGTCCCTAAATTAGGGTCCCTTTTTGGTGTCCTCATTATATCCCTAAACCCGAAAAAATTAGCCCTAAACCCTAAAAGCCCTAAACCCTAAAAGCCCTAAACCCTAAGCCCGAATTTAGAGCACTGACCATATGGACCCCATGGTGCCGCTTTCGCAGGACTCTGAACCCGAAGTGGTCCGAGGTCTTTGAGCTCCCGGTCGCCAGGAGCGGTTTAGGGTTTAGGGTTTAGGGTCTAGGGTCTAGGGTCTAGGGTTAAGGGTTTAGGGTTTAATGCCGGCTTGAGATGGCCTAGGGAGAGGGCTTTCGTGTTGCTTTGCAGCTTCTCCCGAAAGGCCAGTTGTCTTGAGACGTGTCTTCTCTCATCGCTTGTCTGCGCCTTTTCGCACTTCGTTGTAGAGCCGCTGCTTCCTGGCCTTATGCGAGCGAAGCATAGGGCTGAACCACAAGCTGCCCCCAAACCCTAGGGTTTAGGGTTTAGGGTTTAGGGTTTAGGGTTTAGGGTTACCCTTTGTCAGCCACGCAGGACGCCAGATGCTCTCAAAGAGGCTTTTGCCCCGCACCCGGGGCAGACGCAGCCAGGGTTCATGGTGCTCAAGGGAGTGAAGGTTTAGGGTTATTAAGCCCCAAGCCGTAAACCCTAAACCCTAAACGCTAAACCCTAAACGGGGTTCAAGCAGGCACTTGGGTGGGTTGAAGTAGTGCCCGCAGGGTTTCCTTTTCCGCACGAGCCAACGCGAGCCCGATGCAGAAAGGCTGCTGGGCACACCCTACTCGCGGCGTTAATTGTTTGGGCTCACCCTAAACACTAAACCCTAAACCCTAAGCCCTAAACCCTAAGCCCAAACCCCAAACCCTCTTACTTACGTGGTCTCACTCCTCAGTTTGCCCTGTGGGGCCTTGCTAGGTTAGGTGCACTTTGTTGTTTGGGAACTCCCAATTTAAGATGGAGGCTGACACGGATAAGGAGCTTGAGATTCTACTGGTAGTGCTTTCTGTTTTTGATTTCAAAGGGCTTCGGGTTTCGGGTTTCTTCGGCTTGAGAAGAACAGTTGCAAACCTTCGTCCCAAGAAAAACCTAGCCCCCAGTTGTTCAACGCATGAGCGCGTTTGGTGGGCCTTGAGCAAAACCTTTTTTCAAGGTAGTGCCCTTATCGTGCAGCTTCGTCCAGCCTATAGTGACTTATTGTGTTGCGCAGCCGCCGTTCGAAGAGCTGACGCTTGCAGCGCCTAGAGCTATAAGGTCGAGGACGTGCCGTCTTGAATGCCACAAAAATAGTCATCATGAGCCATGGCCGTCGCTTGCAGCCTTTGCTGCTCCTCCCTCTTGCTGCAGCAGTGGTGCACATACCTCTCACTGCGAAGCATGGGCGCCGAGGGGCACTAGGTGCGAAGTTCCTGGGCACGCAGAATGTCACCAATTTCGTTGCGAACGGGTGGCAATCGGAAGCGGCACCATCAGACGTGTGCCTCAGCGGCATGAGCAGCAGCAATAGTCAGATATAGTCAGTCGTTCGGTTCTTAGCCACATGGGGGTTTCCGAAATTAGGGGTACCTTATTGGGGGTTCTTATTAGAAGGGAACCCTACTATATGGGGGGTCTATTTTAGGGCTCCCCTATTTTCGCAAACCCCCACACGACTTCGTGGTAGGATGTGCTCAGAAGTCCAGCCATAATGAATCGACGGGAGCACCCAAGGAACGTGCACTTGCGGAATCGGGAGACGTTCTACACTGCATCGATGCAGGCTCATTGCAGGGTTTAGGGTTTAGGAGTTTGGAGTTTAGGGTTTAGGGTTTAGGGTTTAGGGGTGGTGGCGGTCGATTTAAGGGCTTGTACAAGCCGTGCTCGTATCGTGCGCAAGAAGCGCGCGCGGGCCTTTGTGCAGCCGAAGCTCAGAACAACACTTGAGACGCAGTAAGAACCACACCTCAAGATCGCTGTTCGTAAAACTTGAGAAACCCCTAGGCCCTAAACATCCTTAATCCCTTAATAACAACTAGTGAAAAGAACTGAGTTCATCTAACCCTAGACCCTAAACCCTAAACCCTTTAGGAGCTTGGGGTTTCCGACTCAATTTAGGGGCTTCGGCTGCGACTTCGGGGGTCTAATTCGTCTAATTTGTAGTACCCTACCTGATAAACTTCCCATGAATTTCCAATTAGATTGTAGGACGCGCAGCTGGACCCTGAACCCAAACCCCAAACCCTAAACCCTACACCCTGAAACCCCGAAACCCAAAACCCCAAGCCCCAAACCCTAAACCCCAAACCCTAAACCCTAAACCCCAAACCCTAAACCCTACACCCTAAATCCAAACCCTAAACCCTAAACCCTACACCCTAAACCCTAAACCCTAAACCCTAAACCCCAAACCCTAAACCCTAAACCCTAAACCCCAAACCCTAAACCCTAAACCCTAAACCCTAAACCCTAAACCCTAAACCCTAAACCCGCCATTTTGGTGTACCCCGGGAGGTCGGCACGCCGCCCGTCGCAGTGCGGATGCTGGTCGACTCGGGCTCCAGCAGCTCGGTTCGTGAATTTGGAGTCGTGCTTTTTTTTGGGTTTACCAATAGGGTTTAGGGTTTTGGATTTAGGGTTTAGGTTTTAGGGTTTAGGGTGTAGGGTGTAGGGTTTAGGGTTTAGGGGTTGGGGCTTTAGGGTTTGGGGGTTGGGGGTTTAGTGTTTAGGGTTCGATGAACTCAGTTCTTTTCTCTAATTGTTTGTTTTAAGTGTTTCGGGTTCAGAATTTAGGGCTACAGGTTCGGGTTGCCTCATGAACTCCTAAACTACTTGTGAAAGTTTAATCTCACAGAAACCGAATTAAGGCAACATGTGGCTGAAGCAGCGATCTGAATTCAGCATCATGGAGCTTGACTCCGTCGACTTTGACCTCGGACTCAGGCAATGGGTTTAGGGTTTAGGGTTTAGGGTTTAGGGTTTAGGGTTTAGGGTTTAGGGTGTAGGGTGTAGGGTGTTTAGGGTTTAGGGCCCCTGCTTTGGGCAGTGGCTGGTGTTGCCTCAATTACTCTGGAAGCCTTGCCTGCCTTGTGCAAGCGTGAGCATCGAACCCTAAACCCCAAAACCTATTTGCCCCAAAGCCCCTAAATCCCCTAAAACCCTAAACCCCTGAAACCCCATAAGCCCTAAACCCCTAAAGCCCCTAAAGCCCTTAAGCTCGAAACCCTCAAACCCCCGTAAAACTCCCACCCCCCCTCCCCTCCCCCTAAACCCTAAACCCCTAAAACCCTAACCCCTAAAACCCTAAACCCTAAACCCCTAAAACCCCGAAAAACCCTAAAACCCTAAGCCGCACCTCCCCCAAGTCTCTCGAAGCGCCAGGCCGCCCCCGGTGCACTTCACCTATGGCGTGGGCGATGCTCGGCACATCAAGTTTTGTTTAGGGTCCATGTCGCCCCAGATTAGGCTTGAGGGTTTGGGGTTTCGGGTTTAGGGTTTAGGGGTAGGGTTTAGGGTTTAGGGTTTAAGGTTTAAGGTTTAGGGTTTAGGGTTTAGGGTTTTGCGTGTCTTGAGGGGGCTTTAACGGGCATGGCGCATTCGGCCTTCGGCCGTGGCAAGGCAGGGTTCAGGTCCGGGGCTTGGGTTGGCTTTGAGTTGGTAGGGTTTAGGGTTTAGGGTTTCGGGTTGAGGGTTTAGGGTTTAGGGTTTAGGGTTTAAGTGCTTCAGCAAGGTTTACGGTTCGAGCTTAGGGTGCTCTGGCATGAAGCAGTTTCCAGGCTCAGAAGGGGCTTAGGGTTTGGTACCAGGGAGGGTTTTGGGGGCAGGTCGTGAAAGGTCTTCCCAGTCCAGCCAGAAATCCGGCCTAAACCCTAAACCCTTCCGGTTCTTCACCCAGCCGCCAGAGTAAGGAAATCTCCGGCGCAGCAGCGTCTGGCCAAGTATGCCTTGGCAGTCTCTGCGTGCCACACCAGGACCCAGAAAATCTCATGCTACCGCCGCCGGTTTAGGGTCAGGTTAGGGTTTAGGGTTTGGGGTTTAGGGTTTAGGGTTTAGGGTTTGGGGTTTAGGGTTTAGGGTTTAGGGCTTAGGGTTTAGGGTTTAGAGGTAACCTGCTGACCTTAGCATTCAGCTTAGTATAGCGGATGAAGGGATTGGGTGCCTTCTAGAATTCTTATATGAGGGGATTATAGAATCATAGAACCCGGAGCATCCTGCAATGTGAACCCTGTCCTGCACCAAGCCCCCCCGCCTCCTCAATGGTGCCTCGTGCTGACTGGTCTTCCAGAGTTTCTGTCCTTTCGGCCTCTGAGATCGTCCCTGCCGGTGTGGCTTGCTGCTTGGTTGTGGCATAAGAACAACTCAATGGCCAGCGTCTTGCCGACGGAAGCCATGGAAAGCTGCATGCGGGGTGTCGCTGCTCTGCTTTTTGGGATGGAAATGCTCACTTGAAGGGTCGAGGGTATTTGATCAGCGTGATTCTATCCTTGGTAGCACAGTGGTACGCTTTACCCTTTCTTTTGGTTCTGGTTCTCTTAAAGTCGCTAACCCCAAAATAGGGTACCCTTATCATGAGATGGTTACTGGGCCAGCAAGCATCGCACTACGTGGGCCTGCCAGGATTTCCTGCTGGCGCAGGTGATCAATCATATTGGCAACTTGCAGCGCCTGGGATTAACTGGAAACCTTGTTTAGGGTTTAGGGTTTAGGGTTTAGGGTTTAGGGTTTAGGGTTTAGGGTTTAGGGATCTCCAGCCCTTGTAGCAGCATGTCTGGGAAGCTGCCGATCTGAAACCTGGTGATGTAAGCTTCCGATTGTGAAGAAGGCAAAGCATGGGCAAGTTGACTTCCCTAAGCCTTACTCAGCTACTCTGTGGTGCTTTACTGTAACTTCAGATCCTTAGCCTTTTTTGGGTTTATTGGGTTTCTGAATAAGGCAGCTAAAAAAAATATAGCTACCCTGCTAAGTGCAGCCAAGCCTTGAAGCCTAACCCTAAACCCTCAACTATCGTTCGGGGTGAAAACTGACCTTGGGTTCCAGATGTTGCGCTTCTTTGGCTGTTGGGAGTCCAAACCTCCACGAACGATACCGGCTCTAAAACACCCGAGAGCACCTCAGGGTTTAGGGTTTAGGGTTTAAGGTTTAGGGTTTAAGGTTTGGGGTTTAGGGTTTAGGGTTTAGGGTTTAGGGTTTAGGGTTTAGGGTTTAAGACCCAGGCGCAGAGCTTGAGGCCTGTAGGCCTGTAGGGCTTGACTATGCTTGGCAGCCCTTGGGATGTTTTTTTTTTCATATTTTCCCGGCCATGCAACCCAACAGTCTGCCATTCCGCTCCGGCGTTCCGTTTCCTTCGTTGTTGGGAATGTGCCCTTATTGGGTTTATAAGAGGATCAAATTTCCCTAAACTCAACCCTACACCCTAAACCTTAAACCTAAACCCATATAGCGATTGAAGGTACAGCCTGGCCTGGATACCCTAAACCCTAAACCCTAAACCCTAAACCCCAACTCCCTCCCCAGCCCAGGGACTTCGATGGCTTCCTGGGCTTGGCCTTCCCGCAGATGCTGGATGTAGGCCCAACCAGGGTTTAGGGTTTAGGGTTTGGGGTTTAGGGCTTAGGGCTTGGGGTTTAGGGTTTAGGGCTTAGGGTTCAGGGTTTAGGGTTTAGCATGTAGGGTGTAGGGTTGAGGGTTCAGGGGTTCAAGGCTGGGGGTTTGGGAAGTTTGAGAAGTTTGGGAGGAGGGTTTGCGCGGCTCCAGGGGGGTCGAAGCATGTCACTGTCGGATCTCTTATTATCTCCGCAGCTCTTTTGCGTAAACCCTGAACCCTGAACCCTAAACCCTAAACCCCAAACCCTAAACCCTAAACCCGAAACCCGAAACCCGAAACCCTAACCCTCGAAACCCTAACCCTAAACCCAACCCCTATACCCTAAGCCCTAAACCCTAGACCCTACACCCTACCACTGGGAGGCCGAAGGACCTTTCTCCAGCAGCTGCAAGAAGAAGGCTGGTGGGGGTGTGGGTTCCAGGGACTTCTTGTCCTAAACCCTAAACCCTAAACCCTAAACCCTAAACTGTTTTTGGGTCGTCTTCTTTAAGGGGTGCCGTACTAGATAGGGGACCCAGAAAGGGGACCCTAGTTTAGAGAACTATCCTTGTGTTAGGTTTGAGTTTTAGGGCTTCGGGCTATGGATGCTTGACCTGCGCAGTACACGAGCTCTGTAGTTGATAAGCCACGCAAGGGCACGCATCCGATTAGCCTGCAGTGCTGGGACCCTTAGTAGGCCCTTATTCCCTTTTTTGAGGGAACCCCCTTTCAAATACCCCTGTAAAACAAAAAGGGCACCCTTGTTATTCCTAGGTTACTCCTGGGTCTAGGCAGAAGGCTTCCAGGGCACGGGTCCCTACTCGCAACAGATCAGGGGTGGCAACTCCTTCTTCTTTGGGGGGGGGGGGGGGAAGGTTCCCCTCACACGATCTGATCTCTGAACCCCAAAAAAAAACCCGATGCCTGAAACAAACCCTAAGCCCCCCAAAATTCTCACACCTAAACCCTAAACCCTAAACCCTAAACCCTAAACCCTAAACCCTAAACCCTAAACCCTAAACCCTAAACCCTAAACCCTAAACCCTAAACCCTAAACCCTAAACCCTAAACCCTAAACCCTAACCCCCCCCCCCAAAGTTCTCACACCCAGGCGGCTTTCGGAACCTGGGCTTCGCCCTGTGCCTCCGTGGGGAGCGGGGCTCGAGCTCACTTTCCTTGGGGGAGGTCGAGGACCTCATCCAGGACTGCGTGCAGGGTTGAGGGTTTGGGGCTTGGGGTTTAGGGTTTAGGGTTTAGGGTTTGGGGTTGAGGGTTTGGGGTTTAGGGTTTAGGGTTTAGGGTTTAGGGTTTAGGGTTTAGGGTTAGGGTGAGGTTGGGGACCTCGTCCAGGACTGCGTGAAGGTTTTAGGGGAGTTTTGGGGGTTGGTTCCAGGGTGGATTCAGGGACTAGGGTTTAGGGGTTTAAGGTTTTAAGGTTTTCGGGAGTTTAGGGTTTCGGGTTCGGTTTTTGGGTTTGGTTAGGGTTTCCAGCATTCCAGGGCTGAAGCCGGGCTTTTGAAAAGGTCGAAGGCCCATAGCCCGGATGAGCAAGGGTTTCAGTTTAGGTTCAGCATGTATTGGGGTTTGGGTACCCGAGGTTTACTTAGCCTAGGGCATGCCCGGCTTGGGTAATCACACCACCCTGACCGAACTTTTGCCCAATGTGTCGCCATATAGAATTTAGCCTAGTCGTGGTCCAATGCCTCTCAGTAGTTGATATTTGCCCAACAATTATTGCGTGACTGAAGCAGCTTTTTCCACTACCACGACCGCCTGGCGACGTCAAGATGAACTACATTCAAGTGTTTTTTCTTATTTTGTAGCACTGCCGTTCAGGTCTTACTTGTGCCTGCAACCCCTGTTGTGGCCACAGTTTTCGTCGAGCGCCTCGGGGGTATGCAGTTGTCAGTAACACCTGCGAAGCTATGGAATATCGAAGAGTGGCCAAGGAGTTCCGCCACTATGCCCTTGCGCTGGAAGCATTGCTGCTACTGTCCCTCGTTGCTTTTGGAGCGTATCGCTTTATGCACATATTTGCATCTAAAGCCCCACCTGTGGAATCTTCGGTGCAAGCGTGGCAAAGCTTCGGAAAGTGGGCAGTCTGCCACGAGGAGTATGCGCCAAGAGCTGGAGTGGGATTCTTTGATACTGTGGATGGTACGGAAGCCAGGCTTGCTCCCGAGCAGATGGCTCCAAAACTTAACCATGCCAGATCAGTTGAAGCAGCCTCCTCGCGCATTTCCACACAGACCGTGGAACTTACTGGGCAGCAATTGCACTGCTCAGTAGTTGACATGGGCAACCTACCAGACGTCGTGGTACCACCAGCACGTTGGGCCATCTGCGGTGAGGATGCCAGAATCGGCTGGCATTCGCAGTTGTTCGTCATGAGCGGTGGGTCATGGAATGTGGTGAGGCAAGTGTGGCCGCAGTTTTTCGAAGTTCGATCTCTCACAAGCTATGTCCGTGGGTATGATTTTGGGTACACATCTCGCGAAGATCGTTACTTCACTACTATTTCAAGGGGTTCCACACAGTCTCATGCTGATCCATCCCAGGTCTGCAGGTGGCAAGGTGGCACTAGCCCCGAGCCATCAACAACAGCTGCGTTTGTTCTGGTCATTGATTACGACATTGCAGTCACCATAGAACAAGACATGCTTCCACAACTGTTCTCTTTGCTTAGCAGCCTTGGCGGTTACATGTCCTTGGTAATCTTAATCTTTCGATGTGCATTTGTGCAGCGCTATCCCGAAAGTGACATTGCTCAGACGTTCCAAGAGCGCACGCTGTTGGGGCACCACGAACGGGGAAATCCAGAGACACTGCCAAGTGCAAGATGCACGCAATCGAATGGCGGAAGACGCAAGGGAAAGATGTGGAGTCCTGGCTGTGCAGCCTGAAACGATGGGCTTGCAACAGCAGCGCCAACAATTTCCAAGCTTTCCTCCGGGGATTGCGATGGCTACCAGTTATAGGCCAACAGAATAGGGGATGTCCAAGACATTCGTCACGAACATGACTCACGCAAGAAGTTAGGATTGAGTGAGGTGACGAACAGGCACCTCCTCGCCCATTGGGGTTAGTGACACTACCCGGGTTTGCGAAGCTCAATCCTTCCTGCTTCTCGTTCCACATCTCTGGAGTGGTGTGAGCAAAGGCTCTGCAGAAGTGCAAGCCGCGCCCCCGACATACCTTCCAGGGGGCAGACTTCGCACCAGTCACTCTGGAAATGCACAGACGCATCAGCCCCAAAGTGATGCCCACAGCCGACTCAAAAGAGACCGCGGTTCGACCACCTGAAGCAAGCCCCAGCCCTAAGAACTACGTAAATCCTGTCCCCGACAGCCCTACAACCTGCGTGCAAGTCCTCGGGTTTGGAGGGTTTGTGGCAATTGCAGTGCCTCACAAAGAAGGCTTTGATTCCCGTAGGGTTCTTGGGGGCTTCTTGAAGGGGCTCCATGCTGAGACTAGAAGGAATCACAACATGTGTCATACAAAACGGTGGTGAGCGCATAAAATTATCATCGAATAGAAATGAGTACATTGCGGATTAATCTTGCTGTTGAGTTCCTACATGTGCATCGCAAAACACGATGCAGAAAGCATGCAGCATATAAAGCACGCAGGTCCGACGCAGGTGACTTTATCAGTATGAGATTAAAGAAGGTGTACAATAACCCCTTTAGGGTTTGTCTGAACATGGGTCAGAAATATAGGCTCACCGGGAAAGTTTGAGAGTTCAGGGAGTGTTCTTAGGAAATGCATTTATGGGGACGGAGTCTTCATACAGTATAGTGGAATGAGTTAAAAATATTGTCCTAGATGCCAGTTCAATCGGAAGGTTGATTAGTTTGAAGAAGGGTAAAGCTTGCAATCCTTGCAAAGAGAAAGCTAAACGGCTTCGTTAGAAAGACTTGGAGAAAGCAAGGGAACGTGAGAGAACAACTAAAGGAGAACCCTAAACCCTAAACCCTAACCCCGAAAAGGTGAAGGCATAGAGACGAAGCAGAATGAACATAGTCAATGGCGAAATCTTTAGCTGTCCAGTTTGTACTTGCCACATCAAGAAGTACAAACTGAAGCGCAACATGAGCAATCACAGACTCACCAGAGCAACTTGAAAGAAACCGAGGGTGCTAAACCAGAAAAAGCAGCAGAACAGACAGAATGGACAACACGGAAGACATCTGTCTCAATATAGCAATAATTAACACACCAATACTATTTGTTTATTGTTATTCAGTTTTATTGAGTAAGCGACCCGATGCCCAAGAAGGTTGAATGACCCAGGGCTTCCCCGTGGCTACATTCTATATGGAAAGATGGTTAAAAACCCTGACATACTGAGCCTATCAGAACCCAACACTTAGCCCAAACCCCCAAACCCTAAACCAACACCCTGAATCCTGAGCCGATCTGATACACAAGCCACACCCACGGCTTGAATCTCGACTCCACTTCTTGTTTTGGGTTTAGGTTTCAGGGACCTGAAGCAAATCTAGACTCCTTTTGAAGGCACCCTGAAGTCTAAGGCCCCATAAACCATTCAAGCCCTGACAAAGCTCCAACCACCTTGAGCCTGACATGCTCGCCTAAACCCTACACCCGAAACCTTAATCCGCGAAAACATTTCCATTTGGGCTACTGCCCTGCACAATGTCTTGCTTTATCGCGCTTTGGCGTGAGCTCGGGACAACGCCGCAAGATTTGGACAACCTCTACCTAAAGTTCGCTCCGAAGATACGGGGTCTTAGGGTTTAGGGTTTAGGGTTTAGGGTTTAGGATAGCGGAGTGATCAAACTAGACCTGGGGAAGTGTCGCTTGGTGACTACTCCTATCCAATATGGAAACTGCCTACCTCTGCGCCTAGCCCGTTGAGTATGCGATCCCTGTAACCGGAACAAAAAGACCAGAGAGCTGACCCCGAAAACTTAGCTCCAGACCTTGCTAGAAGCAGGCCAAAAACCTTGGACAGCGTGGTCTGTGGGTCCGAAACTCCAAAGATGACAGTCCTAATGCTCTTGGGGTTATGAGACCTACACTCCGCATCTCCATGCCTTTGGTCAAAGAAAGGGCGAAGCTCAAAATCAGGAGGCGCAGCAGCAAACTGGCACTCAGGGTCTTTCCCTCAAGGCCTGCGGCTTACAAAATCGACCCTTGGTTTCGGTTTGAGGGTGCATTGCAACAGAGTTAGAGTAGGGAAAAAAGGGTTCCGTTGCTGGGGCTAAGAGGACCACCTTTAAGAATAAGTTCTCGCGGGGGTCTTGCGAGCCAACAAGGCTTTGGCTTCGTGATGGTCCATCTGGAGGGAGGGGTGGGATTCCAATTGTGGCCCCTGTGCAACTACTTGGAGATTCATGGGGTGCTTATCAGTAATTAGGGTTAAGTACCTATAGTAGTTTCCTCGCTAAAGGTACTTCTAACCCTACTTCTGATTTCCATCGACCTCCAAGTAGGTCCCCAACGGTACCCGTGAAGGGGAAGGTTCCCTTGTACAAAAAAGCATCATGAAGTCCAATGGGGTTCCACAGGGTGCGTTTAGGGTTTACGGTTTAGGGTTTAGGGTTTAGGGTTTAGGGTTTAGGTTTAGGGTTTGGCCAAAAAGGGCGGTTATGGGTTGCAGCCGAGGCGGTTCTCGTTTACTTAACCTGTTGCATGTTACGGGCTGTGTTTAGCTTCTTTGAGGGCTGTGGGTCTCTGCTTCAGGATGGAACTTTCTGTTTCTTAGATGAAGTGCCCCGCGGCCCACCTCAAAATGCGATAGAAGTCTTGGGGTTGGGGGTGTAGATGTAAAATGAGGAAGGTATGCTTCAGGGCTTTATGTGCAATGGGGTTGCGGGGCTGTAAGGCTTCCGTCGATCTCGCTTTTGTCTTCTACCTCCCCAATCCCTGGACTCTACAATAGACCCCAAAGTTTGAAATTGTGGCCGAGTGTCAGCTAGGCGCGAAACCCTAAACACCCTAAGCCCCAAACTCCAAACCCGAAACACCAAACCCTAAACCCTAAACCCTAAGCACCCTAATCACCCTACACCCCAGCCCCAACCCCCCGCCCACCCTGCGAGGTCCAAGGCCTCGAGACAGAAGCCGATCTCAGCGCGGGGCATCTGGGCAAACATGATGAACTGCGGGTTCTGGGTTTACAGGGTTTCGGGTTTAGGGTTTAGGGGTTTGGGTGGGGTGGAGGGCTTATCGGTTTCAAGGTTCAGGCTTAGGGGGGTTGAGGCCTGCAGAAGTTGGGTTTAGGGTTTATAGGGTTTTGAGGTTTGAGGTCTAGAGTTTAGGTTTAGGGTGCACAGTCTAGATTTCTTGAGGTTGAGAGTTTGGGGTTCAGGGTTGAGGAGTTACGGTTTACAGCTTGCCGGGTCTCGGGCTATACTATGGCTCAGATGTTTGTCAACACCCTGACGTCCGAATCTCCCGCCAGACATCCGGGGTTTAAGTTCCTTAACTCCCGAATTCCCGATTAAGAGCTGCCAAGTTTAGGGTGGTTCGAAACTCCGGACACAGGACTGAAATGAGTATGTATAGGGTTAAGGATTTAATTTTAGGGTATATCGGAGACAGCGCAACTTGTGCCTGAGTGCTGGCGCCAATTTAGGCGCTTTGCGTGGTCAAAGCCCTCCCTAGCAGCACACAGAGACTCGCACCATTCAAAAAAACGGGCACCCTCCCCCCAAGAACCTAAAACTAAAAGTTGAATGCTCGGGTGGGGGGGTTTAGGTTTAGGGTTTAGGATTTAGGGTCTGGGATTTAGGGTTTAGGGTTTGGGACTTTCGGGTACTCTTTATGTCCTACGACCGCAAGGTTTCCGGGGACCTTCCTCTTCTGGCTGGTCCCCATGAGCCTCCGCGTGGAGCGGCCCAGAGACCAGCGGAAACAGCATGGGCTCCTCATGGAATCTTGGGGGCGGGTTCAGGATTCAGGATCTTTGAAGTGTTGTTTAGGGTTTAGGGTTTAGGGTTTAGGGTTTAGGGTTTAGGGTTTAGGGTTTAGGGTTTAGGGTTTAGGGTTTAGGGTTTAGGGGTTAGGGTTTAGGGTTTAGGGTTTAGGGTTTAGGGTTTAGGGTTTAGGTCATGGGTCTATGGTTTAGGCTTTAGGATTATAGGGTTACAGGGTTTAGACTTTAGGGTTTCTGGTTTTGCAAACAAGCTTGCTTCTTGGGGGCTTACGGGGTTAAGCACGAGAAGCCGGCTACTCTGGCTTTGGTTTTGATGCTGTCACTGTTCTACCGGTGAAGCATGCACTTGTAGCGGGTTGTTGGTGTTCAGACGTGATGTTTTTTGTTTTGCATATAGTTCGTAGCTTGTTAAGAACATCCACACACACACAATTATGTATGTATATACATACATACATACATATATATATATATATTGTTTATTTATTTATTTATTTATATTTACTTACATGTATATAGACTGTCAGTATACATGTGTACGCACCTCACTCAAAACCTATGACATGTTTGTCTGTCGACTGAACCCCTGAGCCTCTACGCCTCAACCCCCGAAAGCACAGAAAGGCAGCATGATGTAGAGAGCTGGCCAAACGGCAACAAGCCCTCAAACCCTAAACCATCCTAAGCCCCATACACCCTAAACCCTAAACCCTAATCCCTAAACCCTAAACCCTAAACCCTAAACCCTAAACCCTAAACCCTGCAACTACAAGGACCTTAGCGGCTTCGCCATGCTTGACTCTGGCAGTTCTCTGATCCTGGTATCCCCAAAGCGCCTTGGGCCGATCCGGGCAGAGAAGAGGGCTCAGCTTGGGGACTGCCTGTTGAGGTCAGTTCCCTTTCATCAGGAAGGTTTAGGGTTTAGGGTTTAGGGTTTAGGGTTTAGGGTTTAGGGTTTAGGGTTTGGGGTTTAGGGTTTAGGGTTTAGGGTTTAGGGTT